AATACTTTTGGGATTGATTTCTCAAAAGGTTACATGAACTTTTAGTTGAGTTACAGAGAATGGTGCTGGGACAACGATCGAGAAGAATCTAATTGCCGGCCACTTTGTGTACACTCGTAGGACTATGCGTTTCATTTCAAGAATTTAGTTGGCAAAAGTATGATTTCTCTATATATAACCCTGTTCTGGGATTCCATCTAAAGCAGTACTCGGATGCAAAGAAAACAAAGAAATCAGAATAATCAATAGCAGAAACGTCTAATCATTTTGTTGGGATCGGTGATGATGATCTATGTCTCAGTCTGCAAATCATGCAGCGAATTTAGATATTAAAGCTCTCTCTTTTTTTGTTTTCACTTGTGCTTCTTCCCTCAAACATTTGATCAAAGTTTAGTTCTCTGATCAGCTGATTAACCAATGGTTTTTAATTAGTGACTAGTGACAACAGCTAATTGTTAATTAATTCTGTCATTAAGCTTACATATAAGAACAGATCAATCACTTTTGGTATGATTAGGTAATTAAAAGCCATACATGCAATGAACATTCTCTATGATTGAACATCTTTGTCTTTCCAAATATGCCTTTATAATAATACACACACACACACACACACAAATTTATGAACACAACATTCAGGTGGGAGTGATGCAATCAGTACACAGTAATATTATTCATTTCACTTTTAACGTCCAATGTGCTTAAATAGCATATCCGCTTATTCTTTATGCATGATCACTTTATCAAATTGATTCCTTCAAATTGATTTCCATCCAACTTTCATGCAAAAGCGTGTTGATTTTTTTAAAAAAAAACAAACTATTGATCGTGAAATTTCATCACTAACAGAATCAAATTTGCCTTTAAGATATTCCATCAGCACTTGAAACAAGGCAAAACCAAGCAAAGCCAGCGGCAGAATCTATTGTAATTAGTAAAATATTCAAAAAAATCAAAACCCCAGAGATAAAGTTTCTCAAATATAATAATGTTGATATGTAAATCAAGTGCTCTAATATATATATATATATATATATATTCACACTGTTACTGTAAGTGAATAATATTGCTTGTTATGATGCGTAAGGTTAAAATCTGTCACAAACAAAAAAGTTTCCGAAGCATGGTGTATCAATTGTTATAAACAACAATATAAGTCTTAGCTCATGAAGTGGGGTCAGCTATATGGAAACTATTGTATTCCATTAATAACTAAATCTTTGAATAAATTAGTAACAAAAAAAGTATTTCAAAGAGTGTTTTTTTTTTTTCAGTCTTCCTCTACCCTTTTTGAAAGACTATATACTGCTTAATTTACCTTCTTTACTGACATATCAATGTCACAAAAGTGATGTAAAAATTGTTGCTTGAGAAACAAAAAGAGGAGAAGAGGAGGAGGAGGAGCTTGAGGAATGCTTATAAAACAAGGAAGATGAGGATTATAGGGGCAGTGTCCAAACAAGATTCTGTAATTAATTGAAGCACATGCAAACATTTAATAGAGTGAGTGGCATCTTTACTTTTTTTGTTGAGCCTTCAAAAGGACTCTTGTGGTCAGACACTTTTGTATTTTTTATCTTTCCTAACCCCTATCTTTGGTGAAACCAAACCCATTCTAATTCAAGTACATGTATTATTGACATTTTTATATAAAGATCGCTGTGTAATTCTTTTGTCCTTCTCCTCTTTAAAGACTGGTTTTGGTTTAGGTCACTTTCAGTAGTCAAACTGTTTCTTCTTCTCTCTTCTTATTTTCTTGACTCCCAAGAGAGAGAGAGAGATTATATTCCCCCCATTAGAAGAAAAGAAATTAATATATATGTGTGTGTGTGTGTCTGTGTCTGTGTCTGTGTGTGTGCAAACGACAACCTAAAACAACAAAACAAGGATATCTTGTAGCTTACCTAAACTCATGTTCAAGTCACATATAAATTCAAATTAATGGATATAACATATAAATTCAAATTAATGGATATAACATATAAATTCAATAGTTTCAGTTGTTCCTGTAAACTGTTGTATTGATTTGATTTCTCAGAACTGGTAAGAACTAAAACGCGCGCGCGCGCGCAAGCAAATGAGCTTGAAGAAGAGAAATCATATTGAACTGCTCTTTGGGTTGAGATTGCATTATTCCGATGTTAATTGCCTTTCATCTAGCAGAGTATATTTCACGAATAACAAAACAACTTTTACTGATGAAAAATATTCCAAGTGCTAGATTCCGTGAGTGACTTAATTAGCCTAGAAATTCCAAACCAGTGCACTTTATTCCTTGTAGCTGGATCATGGGTCGATGCAGGTAAGAATAAGTACTGGAGGGGATGAAAATTTTAACTCAAAAAGAAAAGAAATGGCAAGTGCTGTCATAATTAAATTTGCGTTAGACATAAAAAGGTGAAAAAATGAACCGACTTAAATTCGAATTATCCAGAGAGTCTATCAATAATTGGTCTCAATATATGGCATATAAGGACCACACTGGTCTTATCACTATGGCCACCAGCACAAATAATAATGGGAACATATAAACAACACACACACACATATGTGTGTGTGTGTAGGTGTTGTGTAAAAAGCAAAGAACAAAACTAGAGATGGTCCACAGAAAAGGGAAACCTGAGAGAGAGAGAGAGAACATGGGGCCAGGCTTATTCTTCCTTCTATTCAGGGCAACACTCCATGAGAGGAAGTTTGAAAACTTACTCAAACTTGAAGCAAATTAATTACAGCTGAGCCCAAGCTTCTCTCTCTCTCTCTCTAAACACTTTTTTTCTCTGTTTGCTTTCTGTATCTTTCTCCCTCTCTCTCCCCCTCTCACTTGCTTGAGATGAGAGAATCTTCCATCTATTCACACATTCACAAAAAATTTTCAACTTTTGGTGGCATCCTGATTTATTGCCTTTGTTAGCGCATTTTCCCACGTGGGAACTCTGTGTACACTGTACAGAGCCAACGCCAATCCCAATAACAAGTGACAGAAGCCAGATTTGGATAAATCAGGTTGTATAAAGTTAAGCATGCATAACACATATACTTGTATCTTTGCTTGTCTTGTCTTCAATTAATTAATTTGCTTTCTTTGTTTTATTTGTTTATATATGTTAATTGACTCGTGTCTATCTTAATAACTTTTATGTGTCTGATTGTTTGTATGTTGACTTGATTTGCTAGAACTTTAGGGCTGGTTTATGGGATAGAAAAGAGAACGGGATGAAATAAAATGACTCTATATATCACATGTTTATTCATAAAAATTAATAATATAAATAATAGTCGTTTATCAACTATCATGCAATGAAAAATGGTTACCTTTCCATCATGCTAACCAAACAGCTCCTAAGTCATGCATTATATATACATAACTCTAATTAATTAGATATGTTTATCTTATTTGTATATTGAACTTCCTGGAATCTCTCATAATTATCATTTATAACGCTATCTGAGTCTGAGAGAGAAGGAGGAAGGGAGAGGGAGAGGGAGAGGGAGAGATTTCATGTTTTAATTCATAAAAATGTGATATGGCGGATGTTACTACCATTCTATATATAACATGAAAGGGATTTGTATAACCTAACATGTCTCATTCCACCTAATTAATGGTGTTCCCTCTCGTGTGCCTAATCTTCTATGATAATTGTGCATCATTTCAAGAGATGAAAATAAATGAATTCCACTAATAGTTAAATAAAATAATAAAACAAAGCCACATATAAATCAAACATGGTAAAAGGGTTTGTTTTATAAAAGCACATATTCAATAATAGAGGGGGAGATGAAGGACTATACAAAAAGATCAGAGGAACCTTATCACGTTTATGTTGGGTTTATTGTATGAAACTTAAATGGGCCGGGATCATATGTAAATTTGACTAGAATTTGTGTACGGAAAATAAATTCGACAAAATAGTAGGGGTGAATATACTAAATCCATCAAATTATAAAATGATGGCTCTCAACAACCTCATTATAATGAACGTACGTAGGCCATGCAGTAGAAAGAAGTCAAACTTTAACGGATTGTAGAAACTGTCCAGCGCCTTATCAGAAATATGGCCAGCCTTCTGAAACTGACCCACGAACTATTTCATCGTTTAGTCTATTTAGAAACTGAAAAAATCTTCAAATCCTTTATTTGGTGTTCATATATTCAACAAAAGAGTGATGCACAAACAGTTAAAAGTATATTGATGAGGCTGATTACCGTGTGGTCCTCTCTGTTGGACAACTCTGGACCATAGTAGAGATCCTGCATGATTACATATATTATCATTTTCTTCATGTGGACCACATGGTTTACCATTAATTATTCTTTCTTTCTTATATGGGAAAAAGATATGCCCAATAAAGCTTTACTTATCCCTAATCTTGAATTGCTCTTGCCTGCAACATCTTGGTTTGCTGATGTTTTAGTTGCAAGTATTTGTTGCGTGTTAAACCCAAAGCATGTAGCTTTCGTTGTAATGTAATTTTCACTTAAACTTCATTGCTTTGACATAATCACTCTAAAATTATTTAGTACATCATCTTTGATGTTGAGAGATGTTGCATTCCTAAGCAGTGAAGGAATGCCTCCGAGGCAATGAAAAAGCTTGCTTTATAAAACATCAAGGTTCGAAGCAATTTTTGGCCCACTAAGGAGAAAAACTTCTGCAGATTATCTATGTGTCGCCATTGATTATAATAATTCCGTACCACTTAGTAATCAGTGTCAATATTTGTATATAGAATTAACCCGACAACACTGTAGATCCATTGTTACTTTGGATTTGGATGCAAGATTTAAGAATTCCATATATTTGGACAGTCTGAGTTGACGCTAGTTAATGAGCAATAAATCAACTTCATTCCAACTGTTCAACTTGAGGTTTTAATGAATGGTTGTCATAAATGGGTTTGATCTTAAATAGTTTGAGTTCTTGAACTGTTCATGCTTGGGGTTCAATATAATGAAGAATATGAATCATCTACAGCCATATATTCAATGCTCGAGTCCCTGAATAGGGCAAACATGTGTATATCCATTAATGAAATGAAAGAAAACACCAAAAAGGAAGTAATGTGATATATGATGCAAAACCCACTTTTGATATATCTCTACACTAAAGTATTAAAATCAGCCCCTATCTGCAAACTTGTACACTCATTCATCTCACTATGTCAATGTGACAATGGACAACAAGCTGTTGGAGTAATTATAAATAGACACATCAGACTAACTCTCCCCTGGTTGAGGAGACAAGACTTAGGTAAAGTCTTTTTAGGTGATTGTAACCAAGTTCTCCAATAAGAACATACCATGTGAAAGGATTTTCTCTTTAAAAAAAAAAAAAAAAGAAGTTTCAATCATATTGTGTTGAGCTGTAAACGACTTTCACTTGTTATGTTTTTCTTTGAAAAACTTGACAACAAAACCTTCAAAAAAATTTTGACCTAAGTTTTTCCCCATGGAAACCTTTCATCTCCTGGAGTATCTCCTCTGATAACTTGCCCTCTGAGGTGTCGCATAACAGTCTCTCCAAAAATTAATGGAAGGTTCAGAACCAGAAGTGCTTCTAGCATCTCCATTCAGGGAGGAACACTTGCAAGCTCTCTGTTTAGCCTTGGTTGACTCCGTGAAATTCATGAAGCTCGGTTTAGGAACACTCTTTTCCTCAGGGGATGTGCACGAAGCTGAAAGAGGGCTATCATCATACATACACTCAGAACTTATAGCAGAAGATGATGATAATGATGATGGAGCTGATAGGCTGGTCATGGGAGGTTTTAGTGAAACCCTGGTTGTCACAGCATTCTTTCTTGCTCTGGGGAGAACAAAGTTATCATTTTTCCTTGATAATGGAGTCCTATCCGGCGAATCAAAGTATCTCTCTGACTTCAACCTGTTTTCCCATGGCTTGGCTGCCATCCACCGCTCTAACAAGCTCCTAGTGTCTAGATTATCATGCTTCAGCGGAGACATTGGCCTTGAGATTCTCGAGTTTGGACTGGCACTCGCTCTTGATTGCTGACAACAAAAGAAAAAGGTAATTTTTTCATCTAATACAGCATTATTGATTCCCTAAGGACAGCTTTTTCGAGTGTCATAATTCTATTAAAAGACCCTATCGCAGAAACTCAAGAACTGATGAAAAATGTTGATCAATGTACACAGATATATTTGTGATCAAATGCAGCTGAGCAGGTCATCCACGTTCGTTACGCAAATGTACCTCACCAACGAAGCAATAAAAGGAATTTCAAGCTAGAAGTAAATTCAGGAATGTTCTAGACATAAGGCATGGATTATGAACTTGGATTCCAAACACACGACCATGAAACAAAGCACTAAGTACCACACTTACAGACTATGTTATCAGGCACCAATCCAACAAACATATCAATAAAGTTCAGATTACCTGTGTAGAAAGAGAGTATGCCATTGCTCTCTCCCTTTTGATGGCTGCTTCTTGTCTCATTTGTAGCTTTGCTTTGACTTCATCCACACTTCCTGGAGTGTCGCACCATCCTTTCTGACAGTTTCATTGTACAGACAGTTCCATGTTAAGCGTACATAAATGTCAACATGATGAATTATGGAAATAAATTGCGAAATGTAGTTTGTAACAGATACCTCAGCCTGCTCAAGAGAATTTGCTTGAGTGTGTTTCCTGTCTGGAGACAAACTCACACTCCTTGCTTTCACACGAGCCTGAACTCTGACAAGAGCCTGCATGCACCTCAGAGTTACTGCTGCTTGCTTCCTCACTTGCCTCCCACGAAATATTGCTTGAATCCTCACCACTGCCCTCAAGGCCCTCAAAGCTCGTCTTGCCTGCAAATTCAATACAAGAAAATGAAATTATTATATGAACTATGAACAGAAAATTAAAACACCAACGGAAAAGATGGAATCATGATAAACACATGTTTAATGTACTAATATTTCACACGCATGTGATCCTGCGGAAGAATAAAACACTCTGATCCAATTTACCATAATTGATTAGTTAACCGTGTTGGTTAATAGTATTGGACAGGCTTAAAACAAGAAAAAAGAAAGTAACAGGGCCAGCTGGACTAACCCCTTTATTGGATGCCCACGAGCCCAACACATTGGCTATCGATCCGTAATCAATAAATCAATAAATTTTACACGAATAAGAATATCTTTAAGGGCCGATGCTGTTTTGAGAACTCAATCCTAAACTGATTCCTATAGAACGGAAGCTTAATAATAATAAATAAAGCAGTCAGCCTATCAAGCTAAGCTCATTCAAACAAAAGGGAAAAGAAACGAAGTTGAATCGCCATATTTTCCTCAATAGATATTAAATTCACTACGCGGGAAGAACTTACCTCTCACAGACTGAAGTTTTGCTACGATTGAATCTTTTCAAGTTAGACGAGCAAAGGTACTATTCCATTAATATAGTGTCTTCAACAGAAGTTTTAGACAAATATAATGTTCTTGGTGAAGAGGTCACGCTAAATACAAGGATATAGGAGATATACTGAACGCAGAGTATGCACTTATAACTAATCTCCAAACTCGCTCGATTCCAAAGACTAGCATTTCTCCCATTTGGGCTAAAATGTGAAATTCGTCTTGGGTTCGAAGAATGGTAAGCATTATTCTAGACTACAGACTCAGAATAAAGCAGAGTATAAACAATTTGAATATGAGACCACATACCAAGAATCCTCGAAACAGGGCCTGAATGCGAATGGCAGCCCATTCCTGCTTGATCAACAAGAAACCTTTGGGCGGAGCTCGGACCACAGCAGCCATGGCAGCAGTAAATGCATCATTCGACAGAGGGCCCGACTTGTCTGATACGACCCCGTTTCTCTTCTTCGTCTTGCTTTTCGTGGATGGGCCCATCCCCTCAGAAGAATTCCTCCATAGCCTCCATTTCTTCTTGCTCTTATCAGCATCAGTCTTTTCCCGAAAAAACAAGCAAAAAACAAAAACCCAGCAACAGAAAGATATTAAATAACATGATAAAACACAATGTAAGGTTTAATAAGCAAAGTTCCTTACTCGATCATTTGGAGAGGGCTTTTTTGAAGAGATGAGTAATTTCAACCACTTTCCAGAACCACCCATCGGAGAAATTTGAAATGAGCTTCTTTTCGCAGAGCAGAAGAGAAGATCAAGGCATAATGCAAATTGTGAGTTTCCTAGGTTAGGTTTCTCTCATCATAGTCTGCTTCTGCTGGGTTAATTAATGCATTAGGCAAGTAATGAAAGTTATAGAGAGAGAAGAAGGGGAGAGAGAGGAAGAGGGTTTTTGAAATTTGAAACTTGTAACGCAAAGAAGAGAATAAATGAAAGAAAACATAACGGATACAAATTGACTTTTTCTTTTTCCTTTTCTTACGTCACATCCTGCTTCAGTGTTGACAAGTCATGAACGCCGATAGCAACCAAACGATGTCGTTTACATTGGAATAAGAGGCCAAGTCTTTCACTGAGCGAACAAATTTTTAAAAAAAAAACTTTTTTTTGTTTTTTTAAGGCCAATTTTTTATTGAACCGAGACAGTAATGTTATTGATAGGCCTCTTCAATATAAGCCCATAAAGGCACAAAACATGTATATTCTACTCCCTCCGTTCCTTATTATAAGAGACATTTGATGCTTATGGCATGTTTCTATATATAAGAGACACTTAAAAGTTGTCTCTACTTTTTTGTGTTGATTTCCTATTTTACCCATATTTATTGTCTCTAACTCACACTCTCTCTCCTTCCCACTTCTCTTTCTTTTAATAATTTAATTGTTCCCTCTCATGCTCTCTCTCCTTATTAATGAGGGCATTTTTGGGAAAAAAATTATATTTTTTACACATTGATTGTTCTTAACTAATTTTAACTGCTTTTTTTATCAACGTAATTTGGTTATTTATCTCTTATAATAAGGAATGGAGGGAATATAAAACAGGAAGCAGTAAGCACTTCAATTTTGGGCGCCAAAAAAAAAAAAAAGAGAAAAGAAGGGAATCACTTTAATATCCCAAAGGAAATTAGACTCTCTGCGAATCTTGAATCCAACCAAGAACAAGTTTATCATTAATCAAGTCATTAACTCTTGGCAGATATATCAACTTTGTTATTATTTATAATTATAATCTATTTATCTATTTAACAAGCTTCTCGAGAAATTAACGGTGATACTAAAATTGCTTCTGGAAAAAAAAAATACTTTAAAGTCACAATTGCTCCATTGGATTTACCTGAAAAAATATTTAAGTTAATGGTTGAACTACAAAATATTTTGAGGTGTTAAACGCCCTTAAAAAAATATTTCAAGGTATTCGATGAACTTTAATTCAAAAAATATTTTCTTTTATTGATGACTATAAAAAATTTATTAAAAAAAAGTTACCAAATTTTTGTATAAATTGGAGACACACTAGTTCCCAAAAAAAAAAAACAAAGAAAGAAAGAAAGAAGAAGACACACTAAGATCTCATTATAAAATCATCATGATGAAGATTGAACAACAGGCATGTTTGCACTAATATGTAGAGCTTAACAACGTAAATTAGTGTCGCCTTGTGTCAAGAGTCCAAGTCATATAAACAGGAGTTTTGACTCCAACTCATAGATTAAGTGCCTCACCTTTTTAAGGAATTTTGGTCAATCTCAAGTTTTGAACCGTCGTTCGTCCTCATATGCATTTAACTTTGTTCTCTCTAACCAAACCATATCTTGACTTCTTAGAAATTTCTCAACCAATCAAATATCCCGGCTCGTCGCTCTTACCAATCAAAGCATTCCACGACACTTCAAAACTATCTAGTATCAATTTGTTACCTTTTTTTATTTGATCTATCTTTCTAAATATATATATATATATAATATTGCCAAAAAAATCATATCTAATTGATAAATTGATGTTCGCCATATTTTTTATTCAAATACGTCAACCTTCACTAGCTGTATTAAATTTCAATCACGTTTAGTCAAGTTGGTTAGATTCATTTAATGTTGCACTTTTTTTTTTTCAAAGATTTAATTTAAGTTAGCACGAGCTATAATAGGTTTCATTTCTTAAGAAAGAGCTTGGAAAAAAACTTAACTGAAAAGAGTTCTTCAATTCAAAGATAATTTTTATATTTAAAAAATTAAAATTTAAAATCTTCTTTCAGATAAACTCAAAATCTTTGGTGTCTAGTGTATTTGATAGTATAAAACGTTATTAGCTTTTGAATGATATATATATATATATATATATAGTGTCATATATAGAAATAATTAATTTGAACTTCTTAATTATATCATGCCATGTTTCAAAGTAAACTCCTTGACATGTGCTTGTGGGGGGTGAAGACATCATGCTAACTCGTTTATGTCTAAATTATCTGTATGTTGAATATGATGATGTGGGTTGGGGACATTGCTTGAAAAACTAAATTTGCAGAAAGAAGGGGGGAAAAATTCACAGAGGCAGGTGGAAAGTTAAATTGAAAAGAAACAAAGAAAAAACTATATATGTCATTAACTTGATTATTTGAATTACAAGAATGGGATGTTGACTGCAACCCCAAAAAACTAATGGGCATGCACAAGAATCTGACGAGGAGAGAGTAAGAATTCTTGTGCAGAGAGATATGGTAAATGACAAGAAGATTGGACCAAAAGGAATAATTATAATTAACCAAAGAAAGAAGGAAAAAATGAAGTAAAAAACAAATATGGGGTTAGCTTCTACTTTGTGTCCCTTCTTCCTCCTACAAACTCCTGTCAATAAATGGTCCAAACTTAAAAAAAGGGGCTGAATGAGTGCCTATACACCTAACCCCTTCAAAACGTTGAACAATAATAACCTCACTAATTCACAGAGGCCTACCAAGTGTCCTAGTATCATTATGAATTTTGAATTTGAATTTGAAGGAATATATCAGATCATCATGAACCTGATTCAGAGATCTAATAAGGGTAGAACTAATTTGAAGGAGTGCTGTTATTAAGTGGGGCAGGAGGCCGAGGAAGACTGAGATGAACTAGTCTAGGTGATAAGTGGAATTGGGAAGAAGGTCTTGGAGAGGGAATAGGGAAATTCACGAAATTAGTGTTAGGGTTTTGAGTAAGTCTGGGAGAGAGATGAAGGTGTTGAAGGGCTTGAACTCGGAGGTTTGTTGGGTATTCTCTGACACAACCAATACGAGGACCAGCTCCAGTAGTCCATTTGCTGCTTGACATGGACTTGTCGGCATTTTTGTCTTGACAAGAAGACGATGAAGAAGAAGAAGATTCCACGGCCACCTTGGTGGTGGGCCCACCCACTGCTTTTGCTTTGTTAATGGCTGCCTCCCTGGGACCCTCATTGGCTTCTGTTCTAGACTGCGCTTGCTGGCCCACCTTATCATCAACTGGCTCAGAAGGAGGCACATCCTCGTCTACAGCATATGTCTGCATAAACCCGTTTCAGGAAATCATTTTTCAAATTAGTATCTTTACATCCTCGTCATTGGTCGGCTAAATCTAATGGCCATAGTTTACATAAACCTCTGTCTGTGTAATGACTTATAAGCTACCTTTTTGGACTGTGTTTTATATGAAGAGTATTTATAGTCCAGATAATATGAAGGCGTACGTTATACAGAAAAAGGCTGCTTAAGATTCTGGTTTTTTCTTCACCTTTACATTAGTCAAGTCCACATTGTGCTCTTGCAGGAAGGTAAGAAATTCATCAAAGTTCTTCTTGGTTGGACGGTAATGCCCACTGTATGGCCATATAGCCTGATCAACAATAAACAAATGAACTTACATCAATATATATGGTCTTTGAATTGTTCCTTAGAAATTACAGAGTTTAAGAAATTATCATCAAACATATATATATATATATATTGAGTCTTACATGAAGAACTCCACTGAGAGCAACCAATCTTCCAGAAGCAATGGTGGCGCCACCGGCAAGAAAACTAGAGTGTTGAAATTGGCCTTTCTTCTTCTCGCCTACATACAGAGTTCTGGAGCTACTTAGTACAAAAATCCACTTGGATCCTTCCTGAGTGTGAACTAGTTGTTGGCTTTGTGTAAAAACTAGCCTTCCATTCTTCACACTCACTTCATATGCCTCCCTCTCTTTCTGCAATATCATTTCAACCAAAACCAACCAACCCCATTATGACCTGAATTCTTTTCTGGGCAAACAGTTCCAAATGAAAATCTTTCCATTCAATAAATTAATAGTAATACTATTCACAGATATATGGCAAATACAAGGCAATATAATGCACATGATGGCTTTACTTTCAGAAAAGAAAGAAACTTCAAGTACAGATGACTATATGTCGGTGAAGAGACTTACGGGTCCCAGGTACTTTATGCACTGCTTTACCAATTTGCTCCTAGGGCACCCTTCCAGATTTACTTCTTTTCCATCTCCAACATCCAACCTTATAGTGCATTCCGAAATTACAAATTAGAAAACAAATCACTAAAATTATTATCATATCTTAGTGGATTCATTATCAGATTTTTTTTTATTACAATTTAATTTTGATATTAGCTTTCTTTAAAAGCAATTATAGCCTTCTTCAAATAAAATACAAATTCTAAAATTCCATGCAAACAGTTTATAAATGAAACTAGTCCTTGTAATTGTTCATCCCTAACAAATACAGAATTTGTTCCCATTTACTACGGCAGGTGTCTTTTGACGTATGAGTAAGGTAATCTTATAATACATATATCCTACTTGTGCGTGTGTGTCCATGTGTGTACTATGACATATAGATAAATTTTTTTTTCTAAAAAATATATATTATAAATAATGAGGTACGTATAGTGCCTTATAAAAAATATATTTATTTATTATATTTTTATATAAAAATTAATAATAACCAGTGTTATTGATATTTACCAGTAGAAAAAGGGTTGAGAGCTCTGGCTATGAAACCAGACATCATAGTAGATGTGAAGGTTGTGGCCATAACGATGACGAGGATCAATCTGCACATAACAACACCAAGAAAAGTCTGAGCCCTTGATCGATCTATGAAGAAATTTCAGGGAACGTGGCCTTAAGAATCAGCTACTAATGGTCAACCTATAGACTCATTTGAAATTTTGAATGAACTTACAGCTTCAAGCCAATGCCTCAGCGCTAATTTCTGGGCCATCTCATCTTTGGACAAGCCTTTTCCCACCTACCAAGCAGGAAAATAAATAAATAAATAAAGGCCACATTATTCAAAAAGAAATTCTGTCGACTTAAGAAGAGATTGAAAATTTGGAATTCTTCTCTCCAAAATTATTGTTAGTCTTAGTCAAAAATCCAACCGGAAAGCCAGAGGCATTTATGTGTGTGATTAAGTTTAATTATGTTTGAAGCAATGGCTTAAAGAATACGTGAATTATTATGAATGACGCCAAAAAGACATTCCAGTCTTGGCAGCTCAGTCAAAGTGCTAAAAGGAAAAAAGGTTGTAATTAACTTTGGTTCCAATATGAAAAAGGGTGTACCTTAGCAGCCATGGTCCTCGCTCTTGCCCATTTTGAAACAGCTGGTTCTGATTTATCTGAGTCAAAGTATGAAATAGAGCATCGGTTCAATGTTGCAAAGTCTATAGCTTTCCACCTGTAAGAATTTAATTAAATTAAACCCACTTAGTGTATCAATGAATAATGATGAATTTGAAAGCAGTGGAAATCAAAACATGAAATATGCATAAAGAGGTACGCTTGTTTCTGGCATAACACATACAAGAATACATTTTCCTGGTCAATTTATCGACCCACATGACGTTTTGTGAATTAATATATGTATATATAGGGTAGTTATTTATGTAAAAAATCAAAGAAAACCCATTCAACTCGAGTAAATATAAGGAAATAAATGTTCCAAACATTGAAATATAAACCAAAACCAACGTAACAGAGGAGAAGTTTAGGAGTTCAAATTGATGCCTTCTTGGTAAAACCCAATTGTCACGCACGATGATGAACAGGAAATAAGATTTTAAAAAAAAAGCATAATATGAAAATAGTTTCAATGATCGAATCAAAAGTTATGATCTCTCAATCTCTCCAAGATTTGTTCATCACATAAGACTCATCTAACCAAAAAAAAAAAAAAGGTTTCAAGGATCGACCGGTGACAGAGTTGACCACCAACTCAAGTCCGTAAGATATCACTTTTTGTCAAGTTAGTCAACGTGGATCGGCCCCAGCACAAAACAGAACTAACAATCATAATATTTTTCAAAGAAAATCAAAGAAAGAAGCATAAGTTTGGTATAGAACAAACAAACCATAGTTCCTCGCAAACAACTGCACAATCTGCTAGATTTCTTCGTGTCCGATAACCCTTGTAAACTTTCTGCACCTTAATTGCCGCTCCCTCAAGCTCTCCATTGGACTTAGGAGAGAACCATGTTGTTTCTGGTTTTGGCAACAGAGCTGTTGTGGAGCTTTGTTGATTGAAAAAGTCCTCAAGTTTTCCCTCCGAATGGGATTTCTCTGTAACTAGATATTTGAATGAGAATGAGGTTTGGAGCTTCAGATTCGACACCTTCCTTTTCTTTGGACATTTTGATTCTTCAGTAATAACCCCGTCTAGTTTATCAGGTTTATAGAAATCGCCGCAACTTCTTTTCTTGAAGCTGCTTGTTCTCAATGTGATCTCTCCTTCCTTAGACTCAAAGTTCATATGTCTAATCGCTACTGTTTCCATTCCTCTGCAAAATGAAAGAAACATGGAAGTTTAGAATTTTCTTCAATAGTTGAAATTTAAGACCAAGACCATTTACTATTGATTATTAGCTTTGACCATCAACCGTGGACTTCATCTTATATACAAATGCAGGTTGCAGAACATTCAAATCCCAAGCAAGCGATTCTCAGTAAAAGTCGAGTCATCATCTTCCCTGTTCTATATGATTTCTGGTAAACTTAATTGCAAACAGAACAGAGGCACAAAAGTATTGATACTTAGACTGCAACCATAGGACTCCAAAGATTGGGACTAATAAGTAGACATAAACTAAAGACTAGGAAAATACGAAGAAACAGAGGATCGAGAAAGAGATGTAAGATCACGTACCTCATGTGCTGTAGAAGAAAGAATCCAAGTTATGACTCCGAAATGGGAAGCCAGTATCCTACTTTTATAGACCAGAAGGAGTGGAAAAACACGAAAGGGATGGATGGAAATGTACTGAATGTGATTTCTTCAAACACGTAGGAGAAAGGAATTACTGCAGAAAATGGAGTCCTCCTTTTGGAAGTCTGATGCCTAAAACCCGGCTTGGTTTTGAATGGGAAGAAAAGAAAAAAAAATGAAGGCTGTGAGACTAACGAAGTCCCATGAATTGGGTTATGTTGAATAGAAAATCGGAAACTTGGGTCACACTTGCAGAAGCCACGAGGGCTTTGAATTGAATTAAGTTGAAGATTTCAAACTGGAGCATGAACATGCATACACACTCACCTATCTATATATATATACACACGTATTTGCGTGCGCGAGAGAGAGCATTGATGGTTATGGTTATGTTACTTTCTTAAGGAATCAGAAATGGTAACGCGGCAAGGCGGAAGAAAGAGAAAGAGTCAAAAGAGAGAAACTCTGGTCTGCTGTCTGCTATTTGGCGATTTTTCACATATACTATCTGTTCTGTAAGATTTGGTTAGGAATTAAATTTGCTCCAAAATATAATATCAGTCTATATTGTCTTGCAAATTTATAATTTTTTTCCTCAGAATATATTTATTGATTGTATATACCAAGAGGCTCCAGTTTCAATTCATATTATTAAATATGGTAGTTTAGGAAAGTTACCATACATATGGTGTAAATAATTAATTTAACTATTTTTTTAATATTTTTATATTAGTTATGTAGTTTTTATATTAATTTTGGAATCAGCTTCTCTCCTCTACCCCTCTTGTACCGCTTCATCATCGTTGGATTAGATTTTAATGGTTCATATTTAACACACTATAAAAATACTATTATAATTTTAGTTTTAAATTTTTAAAATCTGATCTGAATAGTTCATAATTATAGATTATTATTATTATTATTATTATTATTATTATTATTAGTAGTAGTAGTATAAAGTAGCTTTTTCTTTCTTATTCTTTTTTTCACCGTAGTTGTAAATTGTTCAAATCAGATTTTAACATTTCAAACTTATTTATGTATTTTTAAATAAAATTATAATAATATTTTTATAGAATATTAAATATGAATAATTAAAATCTAATGTAATGGTGATAAAAGGAGCAGGAGGAGGAAAAGGGTAGAGGAGAGAAGCTCAGTCCTTTAGGATCTATTTGATATGAGGGAAATAAAAGGAATATGAGGAGAGGAAAAATTTTAATAAGTTCAATTTAAAAAATTCAAAAAGCGAGGTTAATAGCTAATTTTGTTTGCTCTTATATCTTATATCTTCTTTTTATCAAAATAATCCTACTTTTCTAATTTTTTAAATCAAGCTCGTTAAAATTTTTTTTCATCTCTCTTTGTTTTCAATTCCTTCATACCAAACATAGGATTAATTTTACGGGTTTGAAGATGGTATGTAATTACAGTTAATGCATGACAGACGAATTTTTCTATTTCGAATATAATGTAAAACAGCCTTTTCTATATCATATATTAAAAACTTTTAATTTAAAAATTAGATGCTTTTATGATGCTCTATTATATCATTTTTTTTAATAAAATCATAAATTTAATAAATATATTATGCATATGGTTCATGTGGCAACACCATGATAAGAAATAATGTGCAGTTCAGTTACCTAACTTTGTTTGATTTTAAGTCTAATTAGAAATAAAATAAAAGGGTATTTAAATTTTTTCTCTGAATCAAATAGATAGTTGCTAGATATAAGGACTCGCCACGTCGAGTGTGTTTTTTTGTGTTGCACTCCTATGTTAAGTTTAGTGTTATAGTCACACGTTTAAATCTTACATTTAATAAAATAAAAACAAATCTAAGTTATTGAAACATTTAAATAATTTAATCGTCCATGTGATTATATCAATCCCTATATATCTCAGCTATAAAATCTATTCAATTAATTATCACATTTCATTACTTTTTGCTCTGTTTTGCTTAAGTATAATGTTTGAGATCCAACGATATCGATACTTTGTTACAAGATGACTGTGTTGCGAGGATACGCAACCCCCTATATGACATATAACAACACAGACAAATTGGTAAAAAATCCTATATAACAGTGAAAACGGGATTCCATATGTCAACCATGTTATACAAAACATTTAGAGTTAGGGTTGGTAATATAAGCTAATTTATAAGTTGCAAGCTAAGCAATACAGCTAAAAAAACTTATCTCCACACGGGTTCACTTTTAGCCAATCCAAACCTGTATATGCAGGTTGGTAAGCTAGCCCAAGGAAAGTTATACTTTGGATGAATTGGCTGAATTTGCCATTTTTTGCGCATTAAGCTCTAAATTCAACTTATATTACTTGGTTTATTGATTATTATTAACCATAATTTCAATTTCTCGATAAACTTTTGTTATTAGATTGCTTTGCTTATATACTTTAATTTAAAAATATAAATAATATGATATCTTCAAACGTGCATAAATTTCTCAAACCGATCAAAGGGGTTAAATTTTTTTTTTTAAAAAAAAAGAAACGTTGATTTCCAATTAATTGCGCGTCAAGAAATTCTTCAGATTCTAAGCCCGGTCGTGAAATGTACTCCAATTGATTGTCGATATTCTTAATGTATTTATTTTAAAATATTTGTCTAAGAAAGAGATTGATGGGTCAAATATTTCTTATTTTCCTTTTAAAAATAAATATTCGTTGATGAAAAGCTATAGTTAGATTTGACCTTCGGATGCGTTTAGGTGCACCTCAGAGTGCGTCCTCTCCCCCACCACCCCTCCCCAAAAAAGTTAAAAAAAGATCAGAGGGTGTGCGTCCCTGATTAGACGTTACATTAGGGGGGTGCATTTTCAGTAAATCATGCCCATGAAATTTTGAAACTTTTTTATTTTTATTTTTAAACTTGAGAGCATATATAATTTAACCCAGATTATTTGATAGGAGTTTAAGATGAGTTCTACCATTCAGGGGCTTAAAAATAATATCAAGATATGTAGTACTCCTTCAATATTTAATATAAGACCTAATTAGTTAATTTGAGTAGATTAAAGATATTAGTTAAATTAATTAATATGATATATTTTTTCTACAACATCATGAGCATCTTTCTTAATTTCTTTTCTCTTTCTCCTATTTGATTATTATTGAAGGATATCAATAGGACTAATTTGAAAAAAAAAATTGATAAACATGCGAAACATATCTTATATATGAGACCAATATTAACTTCTATATTAAGGAACGAAAGAGTATCTAATATCATAGGGTATTTTAAATAGATGTAACTCTCTTAACAACTAGTTTGTACATACACACAATTTTTTTTTAATTTTATATCACACACATCTAAAAAGATTTTTATTGTATCATAAGTTGAGTCTAATAAAAAAGTTAGGTCTATTAAAAAAATATTTATATTTAATATTCGATAATACCTTGAATAAACCTCTAAGACGACCTCAAAAATCATTAATAGAAGAATAACAAAACAGTTGATGATCATATTGGAAAGACATGGCCTAGTGAGAAATGCTTACTATTAACCAGAGAGTTTTACCAGGGGCATTAAAAATATAATTAAACCATAAAAAATATTTATAAAGAGTTTTGTTTATGAGAGAGTGACAGAAAAAGAACCTCAAAATTATAAAATCCTAAATCATGTTTTTTTAATACTTTAATAAGTTTTAACTACGTCTAATTTATAAATAACAACATATTTTTATAGGCATTTCTTATTTAAGTTTTAATAATTTTTAAGCTCCTTTTCTACATTCTCCCTTGGATTATTATAAGATATCAAAGGCAGAAAACTTAGGTCTGCTTATGTTCATTAAATTAAAACAAATTTTCTGCTTGAACTTCAAAAATTCATAACTTATAGTACACACATCCAATTGGGACATGCTACCTGTGAATTTAAAGCTTAAGATATATACTTTATGGGCAGATTCATTCATTTGGTCATAATTATAATTATGATCCATTATTACATTCAAGTAAATAATAAAATATGAAAAAAAATTGACTATTAAATTTGATTGAAAATTTAGTTATAACAATAAATATTTGAAGATATTTAATGTCAAAGCAAATATTTGAACGCCCAACCAAGAAACACATGCGTGGACATGCTTGATCACGTTATGGGATGCAATATGCATATAACTCATTTTCAAGTTTCAATGAATCAATGTCGTTATCATCAAACCATAATATCTATTCACAGTACTTACTTCAAATATGATGTCTTCAGACAAATATAGTCCGTAATTATAAAAATTAAATAGAGACAATCTGAAAGCATTATATACTGAATACTGATAACGAAAATGACAAATAAATAACTAGGTAGACCTAATAAAAGGCTAGCATAATGCCCGTCTGATTCTATTTACAGGCATCTATTAATAATGAATTCTTATAAATTAAAAATAGTTGAAATCAATTATTTCTCACAAATTGTTAAAATTACTTCGAATGAAAGTTATTAATTAGGGAAAAAATATTTTATTAGTTATAAAATTTTATAGCTTATTAAGGATATTAAACCAAAAAAAACTGTTATTTTAGACCAG